CTCAATTCCTATATTGTAAAAAAAAAAAAAAAAATCGATAAAGGCTGCCTGCACTTAGACTCTCGTCCGTTAAGCACTTACTGGGCAGTACTGTTGATAAAGAGAGTCAGTTGGGGGACGAGGAAGCTCGGAAGCTCAGAATCTGCAGTTGGTGACGCGTTAGTTGATTAAAGAGTTGAGGGCTTCCTTTAAATTTCTCCTCACAGTGTGAAAACGCCGATCAGACGCTCCTGCGCCGCTGTTTGGTCCATGTATAAAATACTCCGAAGAGACAGAAGCTGCACAAAGTGGAAGAATGTATATTTTTGGAAGGATTCAGCCACATTTTGTTTATCCGCTCTGATGATTTCACACATGCAGTATTGACTCCCCCTTCCTTCCCTCCCTCCCTCCTTTCACTTTTCTGCGTGGAATAGGCATTCCTATGGAAATGGTTTCCTCTACAACCCTGTTAACTGCAGAAACTCTCAGCTTATCCTGCGATTCAAAACAAACATGCCAAATACAACCAATGCATATGTAATCTTTTTTTTTTTATGCAACAGCCATTCAATGGAAACGACATCAGTCCCTCCTTCCTCACTACGATTAACAAGGTACAAGGTTCTTTTTGTAACATTGGTTTCAAGATGTTAACATAATGTATATAACAGAGAAATGTGAATATGTATTTGTTCAGAATCAACAAAAAGTAGTGCTCCGAGTTTGTGGTAAAAAAAAAACTACTCGCCTCCGTCATGTTTTTATTTTATGTTTTTGATTTTCTACTTTTTTATTTTTCTGATGATGTATGTATGTATATGACTATCAGTGAGTGCGTATGTATGTGTGTAAGTGATTAATACTGTATATCTGGTGTTCTCTAAGATGGAAAAGTTGAAGATGTCCTGGTTTGATTCTTTTCTTCTTTTACTCTTTAGACCCTGCACAGTACCTGTGGGTGTTTTCAGATAACTATGCCAGAGAATGGTTTTTAAGCGACTGCTGAATGTGATTTTACTGAGAGAGAAGCAGTGTGGACTGGCTTTTTGTACGGGTTAATTTAAAAAAGGCCATATTATTTAATTTTCTCTGTTGTCAAAAGTTTAAGCAGATCTGGGAGAGTGGAGCCTTGGTTTTATGGAGAAGCATTGCCTGGTTGTTGTGTATATTAGTGGGCTTTTTCTTTTTCATTTTTTTTTTTCTAACTGTCTGACTGATGTAGCCTTTTTGCATTTGTCAATAGTAAATGACCAAAGCTTCAAGATGTTTGATGGATATCATATGCAAACCTCATCATCACTGGACAAGACATAATGTAGCGGCCCTTTTTTTCTTTTGTTCATTTGGATTTCTGTCTTTGGCACACAGCGACATTCTGCTGCTGTTCGACGTTTTTTGTATGTCTCGTCTTTTCCTCACCCGTTACTTTCTAGACACACTCTGTCCTTATTTTTTTCTTTAAAGTGGCCTCAGCAGCATTCTGTGTGATGTCCCAAAGTTAGGTCAGTTTTAGAGGAGTCTCCACTTTGCCAATGAGGTATTTTGTGCCTGAAGTGCTATCACTCGTTTACAGGAAGAAAAGAAAACATTGCAACCGATAGCTATGCACCTTACTGAAACAAGCATTTCCTCACGTTGACTTGGGTATGTAGAATTAACACTGGAGCAACACTAAATCATTAATTTCATAGGCAAGGCATTTATAGTTCACACAAATTACAAAAAAAGCCCCTTCAGCGGGAGTTTCCCTCTCAGTGAATTTAGTCTAGTGAATTTAGTTGATATCTGATGACCTTTCTCAGCTTTTAATCTCATTCTTGGAAAGAAAAAAGTTTTTTTTTTTCCATTAACTAAATACTTTATACCAAACTTGAGGTGCCTCGTGTATATATTTTCTGCAGTAAAGATTGCTCCTTTGCTGTTTAACAATAATAACCTTGTTAACCAGGGTTTTTTTAAACCTTTTTTCACCTTTATAAAAAAAAAAAGTTTACTGTATTTTAAATGACTTTTTTACACACATAGAAGATTAATCAGATTATTCCAGGAATTTGCAAATACAATCTAATTTTGCACTTTATATCAGATTTACTTGGGAGTGAAAAGGCCATCAGAAACTGTCTCAATCAGATCAGTATTTGGAGATAGAATAAATAATGTCCCCTGAATGTACCAAGAAAATGTTAGTTTTACTAGTTTAATTTGAAATTAACAAATTGCTCAGGTTCTTTATGAAGAACTTGACTGTAGTGGATACCCATTATCCAAATGACGACTTAAAATTGTACACCTTCTTTGTAATGTAGTTCTCTGTGTCTCTTTCTGTCTTTCTCTGTCTACACCAACCGATCCTCAGTATAAATACTATGCCAATCTTCTTCAGGTGACGTCCCTCCCCTCCTCTCTCTGCGCTGTCAGCTGACACCAGGCGTACTGTTAATAAAAAAAAAAAACTCCTCCAGCTTGAACTCTCAGAACATTCCTGCTCGCAACACAGTTTCAGCAACCGTCAACACTTAGCTCTGTAGCTGCCGCCACCACCACCGCCGCTCGGCTATCACTTTCCTGCAGCTTTGAACGTGTTTTTCCTCAAACCAAGGTTGACACTCGCTTTTTTATTAGCAAGAAGTCTAAAGTCTGGTTGTGTGAGACTTAACCTCTGCTATCTAGCAACAATTGTGCACTGACATAAATGACAACACACTAACTTGTGTTGCTTGTCTTCTTCTGTTTTGCTTGTCTTGTCACACTTTTATGCTGCCTAATGTAGAATATTTTGCGGTGTGCTGATACCAGGATCGGGCCAATGCCTGGCTAATCAGAGAAATTAATTAAAAGAGACAATTTGACCTGTAAGATATATTCCATAAATGAAAAGAGGATACAGTTTGATCAGTTTAGATGTTTTTTTTTCTCAAGCATAATCGAAAATACGAAGCATTGGTCCAGAATGGTTTGGTATGGGTGCACCGCTAAGACTCCATTGTCCTTTAAATCCCACTCATTCCTAATGCAGGTGTTCTAAACTAATCTCTACTCTGTGTGAAAGTTACTACAGCATCAGTTGTCAAGTATTGTACGTGCTGCCGTATTGGGACTGAGGTTGGATATGGTTCAGAGACTTTAAAAGAAGGCTTATTATTAACTCACCACTTTGTGTTGTTTTTTGGGGGCGGTAATGCTTTCTCTGGAGAATTTGCGAAAAATGACCAAGGTTCCACTTTCTCCCTTGTACAAATTAATATAAATAAATATATATATAAATATATATTATACATTTTACTCATTTTTGTCCAGTTTTGTATATTACACTCATGTAAAGTTTGTTTTTAAAGAGGCATCGGAGCAGCTATTACAAGACAATATGAGTGACAATGTTCATCTGGGAGAATTTTATGCATGTTATATTTTCTCTTTTACTCTCTCTGTCTCTTTTAATGCCCCCCAACCCCCCTGTTCAGGTGTGTAACGTGAATATAAAGAAATCTACCTTTTCTTTGGAATGTTGTAGACAATCAGTCTCAGGCCGGGTCCAGTCCCTGCAGGGAGTGAGAGCCCTGTAGGCTGATAGACAAACAAAACTCATTTTGTTTGACAATTAAAAAAAAAAAAAAAAACTCTTTATTTGCATCTACTGGAAGTCTAAATTTGGAAGTTTGTTCATTCATATGTTCGTGGCTGCTCAAGTTTACACACACACACTTCTCTACTACACTCAAAACACAAACACCTCGTGCATTTGATCCCTCTGCTTTTTTTTTTCCAAGGTAAAGATGCCAACCTTGAGGAAATGATGCTTTGACTAACAAATCTATAACATCTATGAATGTGGGAATGCAACACATTGCAATAAAAGCACCATTTGAAATGCAGCATGTTGTCCCTGTATGTTTTTCATTGTCTTTGTCAACAAGTTTGCAGATGATGGTGGCATTTATTTTGAACTCGTTAAGTCCAGGCCAGTCCAAGAAGTGATTCACTGCATCACACAGAACATCTTAGTAGAGATCCTTATCCAAATACCAATACTAATCGTTACAATCTTTACATGAGGCATTACAGTTTTTAATTGCAAAACAGTTTTAAATGCAGTTTTGATTACGATATAAAAAGAAAACCAGTCAATGAAAAATGTGTCAATTTCTTTTGTAGATGAGGGAAATACTGAAATATTTAAAAGAATAAAATTATGATTACCCTATTATATTTATTAGTAGTAGTAGTAGTAGTAGTAGTAGTAGTTGTATGTATGTTTTATAAAATATAATATATACCCATCTTTCTTATTGCCTGCAAGTCAAAACATTCATCACATAAATGATCAGTATCAACCTGAAATTTAGTGCTAATTCAAAAAAATTTACACATTTTTAAAAAGGAATAGACCTGATGAGCACCTCCCAAATACAAACACAATGTTGTTGAATGTTAAACTAAACTGACAAAACACTGCTTATAATGAGAACATAAAATATTGAATGGAATAATTAAAGATTTAAAATATGTAATAATTACTTCACTAATAGAATTAAGGATATTGTTTTTACCTCTGCCCCGTTATTTTCAATGGGTTTTCAAAAGACACCTAGCAAAAAGGGGGCACCCAGTCATAATATTATGCTGTTTGCGGGACTGTGTGGCATGGAAAACTTTGCGAAACCCCTGAGAGCTGTGCAAGCAAACGCCTCTATGGGAGATAAAACATGACAAAGTTCCCTCTAACTCAGGTGTTAATTATCACAACTGTATTTATAGTTACTTTACACAAACAACAGTAAGGCCCTTCAGTGATAGAACTCCTGATAACCTTTATAAATGGAATAAACTTATATAGAACCTTTTTAATCTTCCGACCACTCATGTCACATTCACCCACCTACAGACTGGTGGGATGCAAGGTGCCAACTGCTCATCAGATACTGACTAATCACATTCACACACACTCATACACTGATGGAGCAGCATCTGGAGCAATTTGGGGTTCTTGCCCTTCAACATGCAGTGGGAGGAGCCGGGGATCAAACCGCCAACCTTCTGATAAGTCAGACTTGCTGACGTATATTAGATTTGTTACAGCGTTGAGTGTGGTGATATTTTTCTTTGTTCTCAATTGTAACTTTCTGGCTTTTGATTATTTGTGGTACTTTTCCACCAGAGGAAAAGAGTGTCAGGGGACAGAGCTTTGATTCTCTGCCCAAACCTGACTGGACCCAACACAACCCACAGGGGCTCAAACTGAATTAGATTTAAATACATATATATTAAATATTTTATTAATAATGCATCCAACTGTAATTAATGAGTGAATTTGTTATTTATTATTTTGTTTTGATAATAATTAAAGTGGAAATTTTGGTTCGGGCTTCGAGGTTTGGGTCCAATCAAAGCTCTATCTGGGGGAAGGCTGAACCAGTGAATATTAAAATCAATGAACACATTCTTATTTTTAATTTTAGTTTATTCAATGTGGCATTTTTTTTTAATGTAATTTGAAACAATTCTGCAGTAATATGAGACACCTGATTTGCAGGTTGGTGGCCAGACCAGGATATGAAAAAAAAAAAAAAAAAAACACTTTCAATAAATTCAGTCTCTACATTTGTGTCTGGCAAATAATCTTATTATCTGTTTCAGTGGCTTCCTTGTGACTTATGTAGGTTCCCTGCTCAATGGGCGGTGTGGGATTCTTGTGTTCATGGTACTCCACTATGGGGTAAGTGATGACTGTAATCACCAGAACGGCCAGCAGGATGTACAGTTTGTATTCCAGGCATATGAAAGTGCTGTAGGCGAAGGCGATGACGAAGCCGAGCGACTCCCACATACGGTAGTTGGCAAATGCCGCCTCTTTGTCCCGGGGGAAAAGGACGCCATAGAGAGCTGCAGGAATGAAAGCAGACAGGACTTTGTTAAATTGGTTTTATGCACAGAGTTGACAATACTGTTAAAGGGCCTGTCAGTTATAGTGTCACGTTATAGTACTACAGTGGATAAAAAGGCAACTTACATTACATAGCAACTCCAAGGAAAAGACAGCACCAACAGTCAGCTTGGTTATATTTCACATATTAGAGTAAATATAAGAACCTCACCCCCCAGGTTCGAATACAATAAATAAGAATAACAACAAAGAACATTTTTTATTTGGGGATAACTGAGAATGTAAAAGCGAAGGAGTTTGGACTTTCTTACCATTGGTCTGAGTTTGCCAGATAGCGTCTGCCATCCCCCACAGAGCAGGAAATACGAAGAAGACAGGCAGCTGGTCGGGATGAGGCCTCCAGTACAAGAGAGCAATGATACAGGCAAAGTTGGCCGCTGCAGCTGAAAATGGATAGATACGCAAAACAGTTCATTCAGAAAAACACTAAAACTCTGAGGAATCCCTTTTTATTATAAAGTCATGTGACATTTACACCTTCCTGAATCTGTATAGCTATAAAAGAGATTTTACCCAGAAAGAAGAGTGTGGCTCTCCCAGTGTACCGAGCGAGTCTCCCAAAGAGAAAGGAGCAAAGAGAATTTGAGGCTCCAAAACACATCATAACAAATCCAACATAATGGATCCCCAAAGCACACGTCACATAGTTCTGCAAAGAAACACAACATATTAATACTAAATATCTCACATATATATCCAGTAAGTGAACGTTAGAGACAAAACTGGATTGGCTAAAACAGAGTGGATATTTGAGTTCTGCTGACCCCTAGTGGTTAAATATCTGAGGTCAAATAGTTTTTTAGTCTTTAAAGGCTAACTAATAATGATTTGTCTGTTGTTGTTCAAATCAAAGTTGTCTCCTTATGAAGAGAGAGAGAGAGTGAGAGCAGTGGTGGTTGAGTGCACTGAAGAGTGAATGAAGAGAGGGAGTGGAGCAAAGAAATAAAACGTTATTTTCTGATTGTTTCAAAGTGGTTATGAGTGTTTTTTTTTATAGTTTTGAAGTCTTCATAGTCAATCAGTGATCAATTATATTATAGGATCACTATAAACCTTGGTGTACTCCCCGGAGAGGAAGCTCTGTTCGAAGCCACTGTACATGGTGAGAGGGATGAGGGTCAGCAGCCTCCAGTCCTTCAGCAATCTGAACGTGGCCAGGAAGGTGTGGCAGAACGGCTCCCGGTTCTCACGGAATTGGCTGGTCTGCTGCTGGTCAATGTTGTCCAGGAACACCGCCACGATAAGCATGGCCAGCAAACCCACGCCTACCACACAACACAGGATCGTTAGATAGCTTCAAGATATTTTAATGATGCATCAATTCTAATCTCAACTTCTAGTAATGGTGAAAAATAAAAATGTTTTCATTTGTTTTGATGGATCTGAGGTCTAACCTTCCCCTAACTGTTCTACCCTCCACCCAATTCACAAAAATCGGGAAATAGGGACACATTCTGTTTCCCAGCTACCATAAATATGAGGAACAAACCGTTTTAGTTTTCTGTTTTTTATTTTAAACAGAAAAGAAAAGATAGCTTGTTTCCTGATTTTGGTTTTCTCATTTCAAAATAAAATTTTCCATCCAAAACCTGTGAAAATATTGTCATTGTCCAGCTCTTGAAGTTGGTGGAGGGTCATAAAATATTTGTCAAAGCACTGAAACCACGTGTCTAATGACTTTCTTAGGCATATAGATAAAGCTGAATATTTTATTCTGGATTTGACTGCTGCCTTTGACACCACTGATCACGCCATTTTACTTGATAGGTTGCATAACTGGAAGTAGCTTTAAGCTGCTTTCATTCCTATTTGACAAATAGATACCTTAATGTTTGCATAAATAATCGTGTCCTCCTCTGCTCCCCTACTGTGTGGTGTCCCTCGGGTTGGTTCTTGGTCCTATTCTCTTCTCGTTGTACATGCATCCTCCGGGTTATTTTCAAGACATAGTCATATCCCTTCTATGCCGATGACACCCAGATCTACGTCTAACAACCTGAGTCAACTTTCCTCCCTCCATGACTGCTTCGCTGCCACCAGAAGATTATTTGTCTCTTATTTTGACATCCTACCAGAGAACCCTAATCTGAAGGCGTGTATATCCAAATCAGATAAACACTAACAATTAACCATTTTACAAATAAATCTCCAATTTTAGTGGAAGAAAAGTAATGGAACATTTAATATAAACTTTTCTTTAGTCATTATATTTACTATTCATACATTAGAAATATTATTTTACTAAAATCTGGCTTTTTTGTTTCATTCATCCACTTTCTTTGTTTTTATGTTGTATTGATGCAGTATTTGTCTGTGTTTTGTATCTTTTGTGCTATTTATTAAAAAGTGTATTTATCATATGTACATATAAATATCCAATGAACATTGACATAATAAACAATTGTAGGAAAAATTATGTAGGAAAGTCATTATTATTTTATACGTATTATTTTGTCTTCCATCTGTCCAGTATGTTTAAGGGACTAAATAGAAAATCCTCCACTGTTATGAAGCAACACTCTCATTTAGTCTTTCAGACTTGACTGTGATTCTAAGGTAAACGCTGGGGTTACCAATGTAGCAGCCGACGAGTGTCCACACTAGTTTCTGAGCAGGTCTGGTGGTGGTGCTGTTGCTGCTGATAATGAGGCCGCAATCAGCCGCTCCGCAGATCTGCAGCTGCTCCTCTGTGATGTTAGCTGTCAGAAAAAAACAGTCCATTTCAGTTAAATACTCTTCACCAAGAAAATAAAGGAAGTAAGGTGCTGCGGACAAATGTTTTTAGTTTTATTTCATTACATTTTATAAGGAGTACGGTCTGGTTCAGTGGTTCCCAACCTGGAGTATTTGTTTCATTTCTGTTAAGAAAAGTAAATGTAAAGTTAAGTAAATTGATGTATGTATAATTGTAAATACAGGCCAAGCGGGGAACCAGGGAAAAGAAAAGACTGAAACCTTTTAAGTCTGTCTGATTGTTTAAATGTTGTTGTCAGTTGTCAGTTGTCAGTTTACTAAATGATATTAAAGGGGTCCGTTAAAGGAAAAAGGTTGGGAACCACTGCTCTAGACCTCTTCATATGAAAAATGATTTAATTTTGGGGAAACAGAGGCCACAACCCAGTAAGGAAATAAAGAGGTAATAAACAGCTGTGTTGTTCTTCCAAGAAATGCATCTCAAAAAGTTCCCATCAAACTCTAACCTGATAAGCTGGAGAGCATTAACACCAATAAAATGATATACTGCATACTTGGCAACATCGTCCACACACCTTTGCTTATTCTCTGCTAAACTGGATCCATAAAATAAATCTGTTGGTCACCAGTTAGACCTTGCACCCTGGTGTGTGTGTGTCACATTTATCAGCGTATCAGGCTAGCATATAAATCCAACCACTGAAGTCTATAATGGGCCTTAAAACTAGAAAACGTGACGAAACTTTAAGCAAGTTGTGCTTATTACAATGAAAACTCAAAAGAAATCTTATATTGTGGATTCTTACTGTTTTTTCTCTTGTACATAAGGTTTTATTATTTCCCTACTATTACTGTTTTTTATACAGTTTTCCGTTACTCTATCCACTTTGCTGCTGTAACATTGGAATTTCCCCATTGTGGGACAAATAAAGGAATAAAGGAATATCTATATTGAACATTTATTTATTAAAACTAATCAGCTGCTTCATTTCCAACACTGGGACAAGACGACTTTCTCTTAAACTGAGAAGTTGTGCGAGAGGTCTTACTCTCAAAATAATGACAAAAATCTTGTTCCTCTGCTGGGATATTATACAACCATTGTTGTTACTGGTTAAATCGAGTTCAATATTAGCTGTAAGATCTTAAAACCAGATTACTTTTCTAATGCAAAACATGCTTGACAAGATTATTTTATCATTACCCAGAAACAAGTTATTTTTTACTTCCTTGAGGTTCCTTTTTTTTGCCTTTGAAGAACAGTTCTGCTCTTATTGCATCATCACAGCAATAAAAAGTTAGCTTGTATGTCATTGAAAGCAATAACTGTGGCTGTAGAAAGAATAAGATATAAACGGGCTACTGCAATACAGCGTGATTTCACCACCGCTCATATCGTGCCTTGCACATGTAACCTCTGATTACACTTTCCCTATTATTTCCTTATTATTTTATTATTTCTGATTTATTTATTCCAATCACTGGCTGAGTGAGAGAAGGGTCGAGGACAAGGGACCCGAGGACAGTCAGGAAGATAAGGACTTCTTATTGATACTAGTGCTTACAAAAAATACAATCCTGTATTCATCTATAACTTAATCTATGAATGTAAATTAATATATTATATCATTCTTTTATACAGATGAAAATGAGCACAGAAACAATTATGTTTGTGTGACTTTCTGCGGCTCAATAAAATATATTTTAAGAGAGAAAACATTTGCTTTTACCTAAAACAACTCATGTGGTATTATGTGTACTGAAGTGACTCATGATGGCAGGATTGTGACCTTAAATATGTTTGTTAAACCTCTGAATTCTGTTGAAAGGCCTCTCTCCAGGTTAGTATGGTTTTCACAGCTCACCACACAGCGTTTTGGACCATTAACACACCCAAACTGACACACTTTTATTGAAGCCAATTAAAGTCTGTGGGGGTTCAGTGCTTTCGACTTAAGGATTGTATTTCCAAGGTATAAACCAATGGGTCATCAGTTCTGGAGCATAAGAGCAGTGTGATTTGATAGGACAGGCGGAAAGGCGGGATTATTGATTAATTTGTGACTTTATTGGTCCGGTTTTGTATCGATTAAATTCAGTGTTGAAAGAAGATTATTTTCTTAAGTAATGATCAGACTACCATCGGTCTTTGCAAGCAAAAAGTACAAAAAGTAAAAATATTATCAGAAAAATTTACTAAAAGTATATATATAAAAGTACTCATTCATTATTATTATTCTGTTTTTGTCCCTAACGAGTACAAGTAAGTGTTTTAATGTTGTAGTTTGTCAATGTGTGAATACAACAAGGTAGATTAGTAATATAGTATGATATAAGCATATGTTTTTTTTATTGTAAAAAGTAACTAAAAGTGTCAAATAAATGTTGTGCAATAATAAATTGTACTTAAGTGCAGTAAATGTACTTTTCCACCACTGATTAGACTTATCCAACTGCTTTGGTCAGATTACTACAATTTGTATTTCAGATGGCCGCCTATCTGAAATAACTTTGTGTTCATCACGTCACCACAGTGCCACTAACAGTTTCACCTGTCTTCCTACCTATGTTGGTGTCCTGTCCAAAGATGAGCGACGACATGAGGTTTCCCCACACAGCGGACGACTGAAAGATGAAGAAGAAGATGCCAAAGTATTGGTTGATGACATCCGAGCCCTTTTTGCCCTCCCTGGTGGCCTGCGCGTTCCCGGAGATGGTCAGGTAGGCGCATTTGGCCGACCACAGAGGAGAGCCTCCCAAACCCAGGATGACTGAGGTGGGGATGAGTGTGTACCTGTGTGACAGATCAAAGAAGATTCAGTTTTTAATGCTTTGTTAACACATTTGAGTCCTTTAACAACCTCTGTTCCCTTGGTTATATAAGCTGCTGCAGCATTTGTACCAGTGGCAGCAGCTGTACAGTCGGTGTGGCTCCCAGTTGATTTAAAGCTGAAACAATTGGTCAGTTCATTGATTCACTGATTTACTTGTGAACAGTTTCGATAATTGATTTAAATCATTTCAGTCATTTATCGTGGAAAAAACGCAAATATTTGCTCTTTTTAGCTCCTCGAATGAGAGGATTTGCTGCTTCTCTGTATTATAATATATTGAATATCTTTAAAATGTAAATGCTGTTTGCACAAAACAAGAAATTGAGAAAAGATGTTTCATTGGGTTCTGAGGAATTGTGACTTTTTTATAATTTTCTCTTGAATTGATTAACTATCAAAGTGATGAAAATAATGATTACTTTCGTAAGAAGGATATTTTCGTGTGATACTACAACTGTTGGACTTTTCTGTGATTTCTACAGTATAACTGTAGTTTCCACTCTATCATAGGAATCTTGGTTGGTGTCAAACACTGTTTACAGAGCTTTACTGTATTTAACTGTACAGTGAAGCTTTGGCACCAACTGTTTTTATTGGACCTCCAGTATGTCACATTTAGGAGGATCTAAAGGCAGAAATAGAATATAATATTCATAGGTATGTTTTCATTAGTGTATAATAACCTGAATATAAGAATCACTGTGTTTTTGTTGGTTTTGGTCATTATATATGTTGAAACACTACCAGACTTCATATTTACCCAACCCGAAACCTTTTTTTGTAAACACTGTAGTAATGAAGGGGTCACTTCAGTATATCTATTATATTTATTTTAGTTATTTTGGAATGAAGTTATTGTCTCATTAGGGTCTCGGTAAGGATGCTGTTGCCTACAAACAGTAAACAAACCCATTATGCAGAAATATAAAAAAAAATAAGCCCCCACAAGGCTGATGATTTCATTGACTGATTGATTGATTACCATCCGGGGTAAAGGTTTCCAAAGGAGTAGGAGACGTAACAGGCCATGCCAGCGACGATGGTCCATTTGCAGCCCAGGTTTTTGATCATGATGGGAGGCAGGAACATGGAGGAGATGATGATTGAGGCGTAGATGACGCTCAGAGACGCCACGCCCATCCCCTCCTCTGCATTCAGACTGCTCTGCACAGACGGGGACAGGACTCCATCAGAGGACAATTGAAGAACTGTTCAGTTTTCTCAACCTAAACCTCTTCATCTTTTATCTGAGAGGTTCTTGCATGAACATCCAGTGTCAGTAAAGAGGAGGTCGGTTCAGTGATGATTCAAGGTTTGATGGCGAATTACATCAGTTTGAAACGTATGCATTCATTAAATCGATTAATATGGCAATAGGGTTTTTATTTTCATTGAATTAGAGAATAAGTTCTGTAAAAGTATCAGATTTAGGAATAAATATAAAAGGCTTTTTTTAGGCTAAATATGGAAAATATGGTGGAATGAGGTCATACAGAAACACTGAGTTATATCTTTAAAATTAATGGTTGAACGTCAGTTTTTAAAGCATAGAGCTCCAAAATGCTTCACAAAAGACAAAAATACTAACTATGATTAAAATAAAAAGAGCAATTTGTGGAATAAATGAAAAAAATAAATAACAATAAAAAATAAAGACAGATTGTGTAACAGACTTTAAGTAAAGTTAGTGGCTTTCCCTCTCATTTTACTTCATGAGTCAACAAATCAATAAATCCCTTAAATCTTCATCATACTGAACTAACTTTCATGAGCTACAGCTAATTAAATTAAATAATTATTAATTTAAGTGCATTTAAGGGATAAAACAAATGTTCTAATGTAAGAGACATGAAAGTTAAACTAAGTTAAATCCATTTTATGTCTCATTTTAAAGACTACATTAAAAAGAAATCTTTATGATTAAAGAAAGTATAAATACTTTACCAAAACACAATTAAATTAAGTACCATTTAAGGTCAATTAATGGAATTAATTAAAGTACATTTAATGAGTTTGTCTGTCCATGAATAACCAGTAGGTTAGAACTAGTTCCTCACCATGAATACTAACTCCTGATACTGATACTAAACTACTTGATAGTAAAATGAACAATTAATCCAATTCAAAGGGATAAAGGTAATACATTTTGTAATATAATACAATTATAGGGAGAAGGGAACTTCCAAAACCCATTATTTCTCATTTTAAGGGAACATTAAGTAGCCCTTGGTCTTGATGATTAAAGAATACTGAAACTGAACAGACTGATCCCATCAGTAACGCTATTAATGATGCACAAAAAGGCATTTGTAAAAAAAATCCATCAGTTAGGTGTCCCTCCATGAAATCCCCATGATACTAACTCCTAATGTTTTTACTTTTAATGAACAATAAACTAACTCTCCTGTGTAATAAACAATAAACTCTTCCACCTACCTGTAAACTCTGGAGGCCTCCATACGCCGTGAACAGAGACAGAAACCCGAGAGAGACCACCAACACATTCTTGGAGTTACGGCTGATCATGGTTGCCTCTCAAAAAGAAGATCTCCACGGATCCTCTTAACCTCTTTAAAAAATATATATAGAAAAAATAAGAAAAGTTAACTTAAGTAGGGGGGGGGGGGTTATCTTAAGGTGAACGTCTTACAGCAAACATACAGCAGCTGCACAGCTCCAGAGCTACAGAGGAGTTTCTATCTGCTGAAAAATGATTGTGTCTGTGATAAACTTTAGACTGGAAATAGCTGAGAACAAAGTCCAACCCTTCTCACACACACACACTCACACACACTCACACACACATGGTTTTTGAGTAGTGTTACGCAGAGGATCCCTTATCATTTGGCCTCTGAATTACCTCCCACATGTCAACTTCTCACATACATATACATACATGCTGTACACCTCCCTTCTTTAACTCCTGTCATTACAGATGTTTTGATCATAAACCCTCACAAACATGTTCTTCTTCACTCCTTCTGTTTCCTTCTTCCTCCTCAGTGTTTCTCTGCACATCTTTTCATAAGACACCTTTTTCTGGCTCAGGTGATGACGTACAGTCAGGAGCAGTGGCACAAAGAGAGCAAAGGTTTATTGCGTGTTATTTCTGATCCTATTCTTTACGACTGCACAAGCTCATCTGTTTTTTTTTACAGCGTGATAGCTTGTTGTTATTTGAGAAATATGGCAAAAACACAGGGACACACTGCAGCCCAGTCTGTTGTCTCAGCTGCACTCAGAATGACACAAAAGAGCTTCAGACTGATGTTTTTTATCAACCACAAACCAGATCTGGTCGATACTGTGGAGTGGAGTTAGGTAGTCATAACATGAATATGAACATGTAATTTGGGTTGAACGTATGTTAACCTCAGTGTGTGAACTGTACCAGGGTTTTTTGGGGGGTGTGGAGCTCGAACTATGCTGGCTACATAACAGAGAAATGAATAATGGCGCACAGACTGAGTGGGGACGAAGAAAGTTGGGTATTTTTCTGATCTTTGAGTTAACGGGAGTGAAGTGTATGATATTGCACCTCTAAGCTCTGACTATGATGGCAGCATGAACTACAGCGTAAATGAACATTCTTGACCATTCTTACTGCTATTTCCGCATCACCTCATATTTTCTTGAACAGCTAAAGCAGTATATGTTGGATAAATCACAACTTTATTGGTAAAACAACACTTTGGTTGGATGGTTAAATACTTTATAAATGAAATAAAATAAAAGCACTGAGGTTAACGAGTACTAGGTTGTTTCTCACAGTATAACAAACAGAACGTGTTCTCAAGAGACAAAATATGTGCATTTAGGAAATATAAAAACCTTTTTAAATGAGGTCAACAGGCTTTTATTTTTTTCTGACAGTAGCTGTAATTTGGAGATTTCCCTATCTCCTATAACAGAACTTACAGTCACTTTATAAATGACACAATTTAAGTGCATTTAACAGGAGTTAA